CTGGTGCTGATAAAGGATCTCGTTTGTCCTTGGCCGATCTCAAAGTCTGTTGGATGGTTCGAGTTGGTTTGAAAACGGTTTTTACTTGGTGTTTCTCCAATATCTTGCCGATCCTGTCCGTGACTCCATGTATGTACGGGAGGCAAGCCCAACTCTTATGCTCATCATGCGTCTCTGTTGTCTCCGAGCGATCTTCACTGTTTTTTGGTCGAATTGCTCTATTGAAATCTTTCTTACTGTATCCATTCCAACCAAAGGCCCTTTCCAGGTGTTTTAATTCTCCCTCTAACTCGTCTGGTTCGCAGATTCTTCTGGCTCTTTCGGTGAGCGTTTTTATGACTCCTCTCTTTTGACTGGGGTGATGGTTTGAACCACTGTGCAGGTACCGGTCGGTATGTGTCGGTTTCCTGTACACTGTGTGGGCCAGCTTTCCGTTGGCTAGGCCAGTAAGAGTACATAAGTCATGTTTTAACGTCCAAAATTCGCTGTAATCGCCAACAAAACACAAACTAATTTGTCTTCACTCGCATCGCTACGCCCAGACTCCCATCGACTCGCTCCGCATAGCAAGCGGTATGCACAGAGTAATCTAATACCGAACATTTATGTTTTCCGCATTTTATCTTTCTATAGAAGAGACATATCCATAAAAGGTAATTTGGAGCTATGAGATCAAACTTTTTGTGATATATAAATGTAACAATAAAAAGCAAGGTCTACTATTTTTTGATTAAACAATCCCAAGAAATTTGATCGCTTAATTTTGAACCACCTTGGATAAATCCGTCCCCTAATAATGTGGATCTGAATTGCCTTATTCCATTCGCCTCTGTGGCAAATGTAACGCAAAGAATTGTAATGCTAGTAGGAAATAATTAAACAATCTAAGTTTAAAGCGCGAACCCAACAGAATAAAGGATTAATATAGAATCTCTATAGAATGAATCCACATAACAAATTTACAAATAGCGACTAAAGGCGCATATCGAAAAATCCTCAGTGAACGAAATGGAGAGCTTGGATCAAAGCTGGGAAAAAATTGGATGCGAACGAATTTAGGAAATGCCGCAAATGAAGCGTCCCACATAATAAAACGCCCTGGTTCACTCACTAAATAAAAGACAAATACAAAGAAATAAGGGAAGCTTATTTAACACATCAAGCAACAAAAAATCTCGATAACGCGATAAACGAAGAACTTTAGACTTTATGTCGTCGTACCACCGTGTACCAACGGTCTTTTTCTCGCTCTTCTGCCCGTCCATGACCTCCATTGCAACACTCTTCCATTCCAACTGTTATCCTTTATTCGGGCAATATGCCCCTCCTAATGACATTTCAGTTGTGCTGCCCGGTCTATTATATCTGTTGTTTTAGACTTGCTTATAATTAACTCGTTTTGTTTTTTGTCACGCAGAGAAACGCCTAATATTCTTCTTTCCATATTTCGTTGGGATACTCTAAGCTGGTTCACCATTTGCCCTATGAAGGTCCATGTTTGAGCACCGTATGTGGTTACTGGCAATACGCAATGGTCGTAAAGTTTTGATCCCAGATAGAGGGCTATTTTTAGTTCGTGAGTATAGTTTTTAGTTTTGCGAAAGCTGCCCATCCTAACCTAATTCTCCATTCGATCTCGATATCTTTGTTTTCCTTTCCAAGAGTTATTCGTTGGCCTAAGTATGTATAGTTCTTTACATTCTCTATTTTGTAGTTGTCTATTATGATATTGCGATTCACTGGACATATAGTTTTGGTTTTATTCATATTGCTTTTGAGGATTTCCTTTGATTTTTAGTTCAGACCTGTAATCATTTTTTCCAAGTGTTCAGCGTTGTTGG